GCTGTTTAGAAACAAATGACAATTTTGTTCCTCCCTCCCCTGAAAGACCCAATTTAAAATTGTATAGATGCCAGTGGGCGAAGGCCCTTGCACTGATCTTACACTGAATGCTCCTCTGTCTAAATGCTCCTCTCTTGATGACTGCATGCAGTACACTGGCTCTAGAAGAAGCTGGGGCTTCTAAGCCTCATTAATACTGTCTGAATGCATGTAACAGTACAGCAGTGTTTGCTTCCCTTCCCTTTGCCATGGCAATCTTGCTGGGTGGAGCCCTCTTCCACAGCATGGCACTCCTCTGCCAGACACACACATTTGCAGAGGAATAACGGTTCCACCTCCTGGTGTTAACAGGGGGGAAGTGGATTTTGGTAGGAAATGCTAATCTGTCGATTTTCATGTTCAGCACACTGTATTTTCCTCACAAAGGCCAAAATGTATGATCTCTTCTCTCCAGAGGAGGAGACTAGGTATCTGTGGTACAGTTTAACACAAGCTGTTTAATCAATAGCCACGGGAAACTACCAAAGAACACTTTGGGCCTGCCTCTCGCAGCACAAAGAGCTGGACCCTGAGTAAGAAATTTCAGTTCACTATTGTATTTGCAAGGTTGGTTTGTGCTGAAACATAAGCCACCATCTCCTCCTCCTGCAGTGCTGCAGGTGTCACCAGCGGCAGCCCTGCTCCTTTCATGTTGATTTACACTCCAAACCCCTGCCTGAAGTGAATCCTGCAAAGTCCAGATTTTTTCTTCCTATGACTCTAGGACTGCACCAAAACAAATGCACTAAGAACTAGTGGAATAGAAAGTGCCCTGATGTTCCTAAATCTGAGTTAGTGGATTTATAAGATTTTTGTACAGTCTTCACCTGTAAAAGCTTGTAGGAAAAATACTGTCTTTGGTCTTGAGTGCTGTTGAGTTCCTCATTCTGACTATTTCCTTTTATTGTAGGCATTTTCTCAGCAAGCCCAAGATTTGGTGCATTACCTGAGATGGCAATTAAGTTATACCAAATTCTAAAAGGAAAAGAAAGGTTATTTACAGACAATCTGCAGACCTCAGATGCATCTCTCTGAATCTCTTTCCAAGCTCTTCCTTTTCTGGAAGGATTTATTAGATGTTACCACAGTGCTTTAGGAAATCAGAATTCTGCTGTGTTTAAAAATAAATGGTTGAAACAAGGTTCTTTTAATATAAACATTTTCAGTAGCAGCTTATATTTACTTAATATATCCTTTCAAACTGGTTTAAATGCCAGTCTCACCTTTGTTTTATAAATAATGCCATCCTCATTGATCAGCCATGCTTATCAGATCACACAGCTTATGGTATTAAGGGGCCATCATAGTATATGTAAAATAGTATGTTCCTTGTCATATGTTCATTTGATTTATCTTATCTGTCTAATTCATGACCACATTGATATAGAAAACAAAAGCACAGAAACTGTACAGTAAGGCAGCTCTTAAATAGCAAGAAATTAAGTTGTTTCCCTCTTCAGCAGAAGTTCAACAGAAAATTGAGGATGTTGAAGTAATATTTTTATTCTGACTCTGTAGTGAGTGAAAGCCCCAGTGCGATAGTATGGCTGACGTTCTAGCTTCTTAGAAGCCCTAAGAAGATAAGTGTTAAGATGGTGATCATCAGAAATACCATGTTGTGTATACAAGGGCAAGAGAAATTAGTACCAACATGGTGGTTTAATTTCATTGTAAGCTTTCTCTAGAATCTGTTCCTCTGATAGTGAAATCTTGTGATTCCAAGTGAATATGGTACCCTTTTCCTGTCTGCATTGTTTTGGACCACTTTCTATGTCTCTCGATATGTAGCCGGTTTTCAATAGCTATTGAAATCATCTCTGTAATCCCTGTATAACTTCACATGTGTTTGTGATGTGTTTCGAGAAGACACACTACACACAATTCATCATATGATTAAAATGGAGGCAATTGCAGACTCTTGTTTTAAACTCTTATATTAACAGTGTTTTGTTACCTGTCTTTATAGTTGCTGGTGTCTTAGGTTTTGCCATTGGAAAGATGTCATACATAGGAGAATGCAAAAAAAAGTTCCAGAAAATTGGTATTGTACCATTTGGTTCACAACAAAAAAGGTTTGTGCTTATTTAAATCATTACTTCTAGATCGAAACAGTCTTTACAATAGTAAAAATAATATGCCGCAAAACTATGGATTTAAAGTTTGTGATCACGTCATGAGGCACTACTCTTATATTCTTAGGCTATATGTGTCAGTATTAGGAACTACTAAATATGCTTCAGAAAATGCAAATTAAACTCAGTGTAATACCTGTTATTAGGAAATCCATTATTTAAATGAAATTATCGTATTTCTAAGTGTGATGAAACAACAGTTACTGGTTCTCTTTTCATCTAGTATTGTGCCTTTAAGCATCTCACAATCTTCTATGATATCACTCAGCCCTTTGAGTCCTCTTTTGTACCACACATCCGGCCAAATACACTGCAGATTTTTTTTTTACACTATCCTCACATTTTAACAACAATTTCAATCTCAGCCCACAATCCAACCTCCTCCTCTATGGTTTTGCCCAACCTCAGACTGTCCTGCCAAACCACGAAGAGCACAAATTGCAAGGGTATTTTTTCCACCTTGCAACACTAACCATATGATAGAGCTTAATGGTTGCTACCTGTCACCTCCATGGTTTAGTCATTGTTTCCTAACCTTCATATAAAGTACTCTTTACCATCAAATCACACTCTGACTCCCTTCCAGGCTCCTCCTTCAACTGCCAGTAGTACTTTTCATTCCCAATATGGCTTCTCACATGCACCTTTCACACACAAAATGCATTTCCAAAGAGCCCATCCACAAAATCATTCTCCTTTGTCTTTCCACATCTTTCCCCCAGACCAATGTGAGCTTTTATGCCTATGAAAATGCCTGACTGAGAATGGGAAGCTCCTGCATTGTTCATATATCTCTCCACTTCCATTCTTCCCCCACATAACAAAGCTATTCCTTTCCTCACATGGTGTTACGCAAAGTGGCTATTCGTCACTCTCTTGTATTATATGCTTTGCTCCTAACTCTGTTTGGTCATTATTGACAGGTACAATGGCAAGGACTGTCTTTTCCTGCTTAGAAAATCCTATTATATTGTGATGATTGCTGGAAACGGTAGTTAAGGATAATAATTAATGGGGTTTTATTCGTTGAGACATTTAGATGTCATCTTTTGCAGTTTATGTCCTATAAAGCAGTTACAACAATTGGAGAATATAGGCAAGAGATTCTACTTCAAGAACATTTGCCAGCATGTCATATGGTTGTATTAGAAGAAATCCAGCAAAATTCTTGAATGCTTTATCTGCTTTCAATATCATAGGCATTGTCATCATACTTGCAAAGAATGTGAAGCAAAATTAAGATCAAGTGAGAAAGAAGGTTTAATTCTTTTCAGTAGGCAACCTTCAAATTTAAAATAAATCCTCAATTTATTTTCCATGTTGAATGGTATTCTTCTTTGAAACCTTTGAACAATATAATGAAAATCATGGATTTTAATAACGGATTAAAACCTGAGTATTATTCAAGGAAATACTCTCTATCTATGGTTTGTAATTAAATTTGATTCTTCATTTTTTACCTTACGTATCTTTCATGCTAATTTTAAATCGCCCATTTCTGAGGAATTTCTGCTTTAGCTGTAGCAGAGTATTGTTTATTCACCTAAGTGGAATTGATTTGGATTGACTGTTTGTATGAAAACAAATATAACTCCTTTCAGTTTCCAACTTTTTTACTTAATAATCAAATAATTATGGATAACGTTGATAGTTTAAAATACATTGAAATATTGAGAATCTAAAAGCAGGCACAGCTGGGGGTGGATTTGTTTGTTTATCTGGTGTTTGGGTTTTTGATTTTTTTTCCATCTAGTACTAGGGTTTGGCCAGAGCCTGGTGAGGGTAGTGTAAGAGTGCTGCTAGAGCAACTGCACCCTGGGGCAGGGGAGACGGCCCGCGTGATGTTTTCACCCTGGAAAGGGGAAAGTTCCCGTTGTGAAAAAGGAGAGTTTACAGGGTGGAAGGCAGGGGAGTATTTAAAAGCACTTTCACTCTTCCTCTACAAAAAAAACCAGGCCAACAGCTGGGCTCTTTAAAAGCATTTTCACACATTCTGCTTGTGGTGAGCTGTGGCCTACATTTCTCACAGGCAGGAGAACGTGTGAAAGTGTTTGCAAATAGCTTGGCTGCCTGCAAGAGAGGAGAGCAGAGGGCCTGTTTGAAATCCTGCCACATGAGGTTGTTATGGCTCTAACTGCAGCTTGAAACAAAAGCCTGGTGCAGAAATTGTTGGATTGGATCGCTTTGGCACATGTTATGTGGGAATTTAGATAAGGGTATTGACAATGGTCCCTTTCTTGCTCTGAAGTGTATGGCTGCAGACGATCTATAGGAGGAATATCCTAGTAGAACCTGTTTACTTACCCAGAAGAGAGATTTTGATGGATTTTTACTATGTAACAGTACATTATGGCAGTAAGGATTGTCCTGAAGGAAGCCATAGAATAAATTCCTGGTTTTAATCAACTTTGTCACTGCTTGAGCATTTTCTGTCAAGAGCTGCAAGTGCTCAGCCTCTAGCAAAAAATGCACTTTGGCTCAGGCTCACCTCATAGGGTTGCTGCCAAAATGGGCAGTGCTTCTCTTCTGCCCGCTGTAGAGATCATGAAGCACTGTGGCCCTCTGGAACAGCTTGCTGGCCTAGCTAGGTGTCAGACTCATAAGGGGGAGATAAACAAAAAAACCCGGCCCTCTGGAACAGCTTGCTGGCCTAGCTAGGTATCAGACTCATAAGGGGGAGATAAACAAAAAAAAATCAAACTTTTCTGAGTGGTAACTTCTTATGTAGGCCAGCGTCCTCACAAAGCATATTCAAGTGAGGAGGGTCACTTACCAGCAATTACCTGTGTAAGTGGAATCAAGTGTTGATGGTGGGATTCACTGCCACTGTTTGTCAGAGCTGGAGCTTGCTGAACCTTAAATCCAAACACATTTTCTTTTTCAACTTAGTCCCTTTTTCAGCCTTCCTCTGTGAGTTGACAATATTTTTTCTAGTGTATTTAGCTTTTAAATTAGCCAATTAGCTTTTAAATAAACTCCAGATTGTCTCAAAAGCAAAGGTGTCTTGCAGCTGTACAAAGGGAAGAGTGCAGGATGCCACAGGCCCCTCTGTTTGTTTTTCTCCTGCAAGGGGTCCTGGAATTTCTCCTGTGAGCCTGTTTCCTGTTCCAGCTCATGTGTTCATCAAAGACCTTCATTGCTGCACTTTCTACCAGCCACTTAGGTCTTGTTTTTTTTTTAAAACAGCTAGAAAGCTTAGTCAGAAACATGGTCTGAAAACAAATGTCAGACAAGTTTATTTCATTCAAATTTTAATTGCTGGAAGGAAAAAGCCATTGTATTTGGGCCAGGGTGATATTTTGAATTTGCCAGAAATAATTTCTGATGGACAGGTTTTAGAAGCTTAGGAAAATAAATACTGCAAGCACTATGTTGTTTTCTGTATTGTCAAATAGTGAAAATAATAACCTCATAACCTCTTTTATGTTTTAATAAAAATTCTTAATTTAGCATACTATGCTCTAAAAATCTAGAGAGACCCTACTGAGCGCATCTCACCACTCTCCATGCTAAGCGTACATCGCAAGGTCTGGCATTGCCTAGGAGGACTACCCAGATAAAATTACACTCATGTTGATGAGTACAAAGCCTTTTATCCTCAGGGACTTTGCAGAGTTCTCAGAGAAATCACCAAGAAGCTGCACAATATCACATCGAAAACAAGGTGCCATTCTGCTAAATAATGGGTCCTTTCATTCCTTTTACAGATACAGTGAAGATGATAAAAATCTTATAGATCAGCTTTTTCTCTCAAGACTTTATTCTGTAGAGAAGAAACAATGTCTTTGGTTTGGTGTAAATTGGCTTATTTGAAGGAAGTAGTTGCTTAATGTTACACAGTTCTGCTCATAATAAATACCAGTTTCATGTAACGTACTTTTTGGGTTTTCCTCTTCTCTCTCTTCTCAGCATGTTTTGGTTTATTTTCTTCCCTTCAGTGCAGTTTAGCTCTTAGAGCTGAAGAATTAAATTTGTCTGTTGTACTTAGACGGTGGCAATACTTTGTGTAGCAAGCAAAACGGCATATGCTGGAACGTTTGTGTTCTATACCAGAAGGAAAGAGGACAAGGATGTTTAAATGATTTTGCACAGTTAAGCAGCTATTCAGTCTCTGAGCTGACTCCTTGTTTAGGGCCTGTTTTAAGAGTACTAAGCTAGAAGTTCATTAGGGTTTTGTCACACTGCAGTTACTGTGCTGAACCAACTTTTAATAGGCCCGTTTTACATAAAAGTCCACTTTGCCAGGGATAGCAAAAGCACGTGCCACATTCATAACAAGCAAGAAGATACAATATTTTGGAACAGTTTATGGTCTGCACACAATCCAAGGCTAGTAGATGTTGAGAAAAAACTGGATGGCACGTGCTCTCTACAAACAGCATGGCACACAAACTTCCATGAAATATGTCAGGAAAGCGGAAGCAGACACTTCCCCTAAACACAGTGATGGTGTTCACATGGAAATCAAATGTACAACTACTGAAAAGTTTGGGCCTCACTGTCCGTTGATGAAGCCTGTCTTCTGTGGGTTTGGGTTTTTTTTTTTTTTTTT